GGAGAGCCTCCAGATGCCGCGACCGGGGTCTGGGCCGCGACTGCCGAATCACCTGCAGGTGAAACCGGCATCATGGTCCCTGGGCGTTGAAGGTTTTGGCAGATTGCGGATCCCCTGATTCGAAAAATGGTTGGGATCCTGGTCGGGGTGATGGGTCGGGTAGACCATGATACACCTATCTTATGTGATTTCATATATGACGGTGATCAGATCCTTACAAGATCCATTGACGCATTTTGGAAGGAGACTGCAAGAGAGAGATCAAGAGCGGGGGCATTTTGGTGTTGATGTCAAGGCATGCCATCAAGAGGATAATGTGGGCTGCTGATGCAGCGCCGAAGACAAGGGTTTCTACGTACTTACCTGATAATAAGAAACGTGAAGACAAGGGTTTCTTCCTCTGAGACGATCCTTAGGAAACTGCGTAAGATTTTACCTTACTTTCTACGTACTTAGTTGCGTGTTCACACGCTCATTATCAAGTAAGTACGTAGTACCTTGGCCTTGACCTCCTAGAGCGTCCCAACTCGGGTCCTTGACCAATGGCTTTGCTTGATTTGTTGATCATACAGGATGGCTTTGGTTGGACCTCCTTGAATAGAGAAGGACTGTTCAAGCCACCCATTTGGGGTTCTCAAGTCCTATGACTTTGACACAAGAAGAGCAGATCCCTGCTTTCCAGGTTGCACATTAAACTATATTGCTTTGATACCATTGATATCGCTGCTTGAATGAGCATTTTCTCCCTACTGTACTGTATATATAAAAAAGTGGGTACTCAAGCCACATCTCGAACGGCAAGGGGAAGCTGAAAGCACCTTCCACAGATTTTGGTGATGTTGTTTCTGCATTGCAATTGATCAATGACCATCAGTATTCATACTCTTTGCATCTCTTTGCATTTTATTGACCGGGCTCATTTGTGGTCAGAGCTGCCCGCCAAGCCTTTTTTCGTTTGGTATCCGGACTTGGACAGCGACCTGGCCAGTGGTCCCAGGTTCTACCTGCCAGATGATGTGGGAAATCTACCCCTTTTGCCAGATGAGGTTTGGGATGCCAGCCTGGATACCTGACAAAAGATTGAGGAACACATCTCTATATTTAGATGTCATATCAAGCAAAGGCAATTTAGGATTCTTTGCAGCAGTAGGATTAGTTGTTATTGTTGTTGTCGTGGTTCTTGCTAGGATGTTTCTAGAAGTTTTAGGTCAAAGCTTGCCAAAACCTAGGACATGGACAGCCAGCACTTCCCCTTGCTGCAAGCACTACTGCTACGATTGCAGAGGAACGAGACTGTCAGGAGCCCTGAGAGAACCTCTTGTTACAGAGGCGATTTGTTCCAAGATACAGTAGTCTTTGCAAAGATAATTTCCTGAAGATTTCCTGGACGATCCAGACTCACAAGGGCACTTTACGCACCTCACATGATACACGTCACATCACCTCACCTGACATGATCCACATTATGTTTGCCACATCACGCTTACAGTACGTATTGCATCAATCGTGGCTTGCAACATTTTACTCATCTGACATTAGACGACAAGTGGTACGTGTTTGCTTTTGCTGGCGGCAATCTAGCACGGATCTGTACTGTACAGATTGTGTGTGTGGAATGTGCAAAAACTAGCTTTTGAAGCAATCCCCTAGTGCTCGTACCGAACACGTAAGCTGTGGCACGTTGGGACAGTGACCTCTTTTTGAGCCGCACTCTGTAGAAGTTATGAGTCATAAGCCTTTCAGAGGGCATGAAGTGCGTTGGGATTTGGATGGATTTGGCCTTCCAAACTGAACTGTACCATTCGAACAACTGAAAGGTGAAACCAACCAGCAATGGAATGGGTCCATCATCCAACCACCAACCAAATGACTCCCCAGACTTTCTGACCAACAAAATTATGAACTAACATCAGTCATATGAAGGAGTTTTTCTCCAAAAGGATGTGGAAATTCTTTTCAGCTGATTTGGCTTCTATCCAGACGAATCAGATCGTCCAGGATCCAAATCTATGGGGGTAGCATGACCTTTGGCGAGGGTTGCTGCACCAGCTGTAAGCTGCGACAGCGAGACTGCAGTTGGCCCATGCAGGCGCGAGCCGCTGGTGACTTTGGGGTGCTGTAGAGGTCCCCCCAAATGGAAGGGTGGATCTGAATCCTCTTCAAACAACTTGGCACCAGAAGTGATTCGAACCCCCCTATCTATTATATATGTATATAAGTATGTATTATTAAGTATGCATATATATATATATATGTATACTAGATGCCCTTTGCATCTGGGCTGTTTCTCCAATACCATTTGATAATCCCTGCAACATCCATTCGTCGGGCTTCTCCATTGGATTCACCTTTGCGGTCGCTGGGCTCTCGGGTCGTGTGGAGTCGTCGAGCGAACAACGGAGGACCCCCTTCAACCAGATCCAATACTTGAAGAATTGGGGCGACCATGGAAGGGCATGGAAGGGCATGGAAGGGAAGCCCCTACAATCAAAAGTAGAGGCATGTACTTAACTTACTTAACCACGCTTTAAAGTTATTAACCAACTCAAAGGTACACAGTGTTCTTCCCCTGCGGAAAATCCCAACGACAGCACGCTTGCGCGGAGGTCCTGGCACGGCTTCGCCAAAGCTTCCCAGGAGCAACGACGCCTGGAGACTTAAGGTTTGATCATTTTCTGCCAGGAATGCATGGCAGCAGATTCGAATACATTCCCAATGCAGGATTTTGGAATCCATAATTATCCATGTTGAGAGATGTTACGATGTTTTCTGGTTTTTGTTGGATGCCAATGCAGGGTTCCATGCATGTCTTCCCTTTGATTGAAAGCCAGCTGTGGATGAATCTGTCTCCGAGACGCGATGTTGTCAACCCTCGTATTTCTCGGTTTTCTCGGTGGAATTGGAACGACCAACATGGGTTCAAACACCATGCAGCTTCCTGCAGACAGAGGAGGCTAACATCACGGACGGTGGAGAACAGCAAACAGCTTTACAGCACGGACTCGAGTGACTCATCGGTCCAAAACTTCTGGACTCGGACGTTGACCCATTGGCCTGGACTCTCGTTGACTCATCGGCGACCACCGGGGTGCCCACCAAACTTCGAAGAACAAGGTTTTTCAGAAGCATCTCAATGGACCACCGCGTGGAATTTCAGCCACCAAGAGGCTCGGTGTAGGGCTTGGTGTAGCAAAGTAGGAGCAAGAAGCTACTATGTGCTCCTGGCCTTACTACTAGGAACAACAAGCTACTAGTAACAAAGGGCTTCGCTACTAGGAGCAAGGACGCTATTCACGTCGCTTCGCGACGGTAACCGCCCGCACCGCATGGAAGGGGCCAATATTTCCACCGGAAGTGCCCCCCCCCCTCCCCAACGTGGCCGAGCATAGATTCCATGTTTCGAGATAGGGATTTAACATGGCCCAACGTGTCAGGCAATATGAAAGCTATGTTTGGCCACGTTAGGGGGTGTTTTATATTCCAGCTTACGACGTTCAAGTCCCTATCTCGCAGACACTACCTTTAGACAGTGACTTCTAGGGCTATGTTAGGCAATATCTTCACTCTATTCCAGT